AGGTTCTTTGACGTGGACCTTGGCGTCCTTGTCAAGCTTAACCCATGCCATCCAGCTGCCCCTTTCTTCGTCACACTTTAGAATGTGCTTGCTAGTTTCCTCGTAAACAAGTTGGTCGATTCTCTCAAACTCATTAAGGTCGTCCGGGTGAACGATAATACCAAACGAGAAAGAGTTTTGGTTTACAGCATAAATTGAATCCGTTTTATTAGTCTTTCAAATAATATGGTTTATTATCTTTGTAAATTGTTTGTTAGCTGTATATTTTGTATTTATTTGCTTCACTGATAGATACTTCAGACATTGTTTTTTATTAAGAATATCGATTTCTTTAAGTCATTTTCAACATTGACCTCGTTACCTTCTTCGTCGTATATTTTGAAGGTGAGGAAGGTTATTGTTCCGGCTCTCATTTTTTTTATAATCCTCGTGACCGTATCGACTCAATTTAATGAAATCCGCAGGAATTTCCCGTTTGGTTAAAGGTACAACGCATACCAAATCACTATTGTTTTTTATTTAAAACGTTTTTGTGGGTGCTTAATTCGTCTAAGTGTATAAATAATTCGTCCGGTTGAGTCTTAGCAGGTTTCGCACTTTTCACCATCTCTTTTGGTTTTAGCCTGAGTCTACCTTCAAAACCTAAAAATTTCGGCAAGACTTCGTGTACGACCACGTTAAACTCACCGTCGCCAGAATTTAATTGAGCCGTAGATATCATCACCTTTCCACTATCATCGTCGTATTCAACATTCCTGAGATTTAAATCTCTTTTATTACCTTTAACCTTAAAAAAAATGCAAGAGAGCATAATTTCCCGGGATATTACTGCTGTATAAAGATTACTACCAAGTATGCCAGGGAGCTCAGTTTTTCAAAGACTAAAAATGTAACGGTACCAACAGCACCTCAAGCATATAATGACTTAATATTTAGACTGGTATAATAAAAAATGGATAATGATGAATCCAAAAAGATTTTGAATATACCAAAGAAGTCTATCTACAAAAATAACGGGGTTGGCCTTTTTTACAAGTTTGTTATTTACAATAAGTTGGCTAAGCACTAAATAGGTTATATTTTATATCCCCATTGAGAGGGGTATAAAATATTTAATTATGCCAACACTTTGTTTGTTTGTGTAGAGTTCAAAGTCTATCTACTTCAGCGTAAATCTTAAGGTGCCCTGGTTTAACTTCCTTTTTACCGTTGATCCAAATAAAGTGTTTGTTCCATTCTCTATCTGGTTCACAGGGGTTTATCTCTATGGAGTCACCTAAATAGATTCCATAGGTTGATCTGTATCCATATAACTGGTTAATGTGAACTAGCTTCATATGAGTTTCTAACTCCTTAGGATCCATTTTTTAAGTATTGGAGATAATTTTCTTTAAGTCAGGTTAAGCAAATTGCAGACCTATGATAAAAATGGATGATGTAACTGCAGAGCAAGCTTACGAAGTATGGAGAGAGATTATGAATCACGCGATCGGGCACAAGGACGAGAAAAAGAGAGGAATATTATAAAGAGTTTAAAAATGGGACGAACTAAAAAGTAAGCGTTAGAGAAACTTATAACGTATCTTGTATCGAAAAGGATCCCCTTCCTGCAGATCCTATTGAGAGACATAAAATATTAAAAGCTAGGTTAAGAGGTGTTATTAAGGGAAAAAGTCATACAACCCATATACAAAAAACTGGAAATTGTTAATAAATATGACTTCAATCCTGTAGGTAAAATTACTACAGTTACATCTCTCATAGAGATGGAGGTTTGTAGGTGATGACGTTTAAAAATATTCTTTTTCGGAGAAGTTATTTAGGTAACCTTATTTCTATATTATATTTGGTTATTTAGCCCTATATAATATTTATTAATTTAAAGGTTGAGATTAGGAAGTTAGCCAAATTTGGCTAACGTGAGGTCATGTGAGGTCAAATTAGGTTGATTATGTCATCAATATGCAAATTAGGTGTGAGGTCAAATTAGGTTGTGAAAGGTCACTTGAGGTCAAATATGCGAATTAGGTGTTTAATTGACCAATCAGAGGGTGTTTGAGATGGTGTGATCTAGAACCCCCCCCCCCCACCTACTACTGTTTGAGATAATTTCTAACTTAATTAATAACCCAACATGCAAATTTATAATGCACAATGTAATGTGTTCAACATTCATTTCGGTGACCCTGGTATGAAAAATTTAGTTGATAATGATAAGATTTGATTGAGCTTTTTGATGTGGACAAAAGGATGTCTGCAATAAAATTTGAATTAAAGATGCAATAATACAACAACATTTACATAGTAGATTAGATTTAGAAGAGACCTGCATAAAATTCAGTGACACTCGCATACAATACCTCTCGACAGACAAATTACGAGCTTGTCTGAAAGTAACTGTGGTATTTATTTTATAATCACAGAAATTTTAAAAACTGTGAACATAATGTGAAAAAAATGGTACTCAATAAAGGAGGAGGAGCATGTGTCTAGTGTGTAGCCTTTCTCAAGCTGTTTTGCGTTGTTTAACTACGTGTGACGGTACTAAATAGATACCATCTAAATTTTTATTTGGATAATAAACCTTTACGCTAAGCCCCGTCCCTTACATATTGTAAATATAGTCACACAAAACAATAGAGTAAATGTACGTAAACAGTTCTGACCGTGTTCTGAGTGTTCAGTTGTTAAGTTTGATTGACATTCCGAAAAATGTAAATTTGGGGATAGAAAAATTGAAAGAGAAAACATGCGTTTAATACAGGGACACGATTCATATTTTACAATGAGCTGGCCTATGTGCCTTAAATTACTCTACACGTGATTATGTGGTTTTTGGTTCCTTCCTCATAGCGCCTTGAGCACTACTGCATTGGATTCATGCGCTTTATAAATATTATTATTATTATTATTATTTTTATTATTATTATTATTATTATTATTATTATTATTTAATCGGCTGCTTCAAATCATCCTAGCCGTGATTATTAGAAATGTTTGATACTGTCCATGGAAACGAAGAAACTACCACGTTGTATATTTCCATTTTGTTTTATAAATAGTAATAATGGGTGGAAATGTGCATAATCTTATCAGATATGCCTCAGTAACCAGTTTTCGTGGGTTATGCTTACTCGGGAAACCCGCTGTCGTCAAGGATGTAGATGGGGCTGTTAAGCAACATCACTTAACTTATTTCCCCATCAGAGGTGGCGCCATGATTTGACCGACGGTGGGCGAGGTCCCCGACATTGGGGCCGATGCCCCCGGCGAGGTGTCAGATTTCTCCAAAGAAAGCAAAGTAGACGTGGTAAAGCTTCGATTAAAAGGTTTCGAAAGTGATTCAGGGTGCGAAGCCTCTAACAATTTTAACAATTTAGGGGTTTCAAAGGTTATTTAATCGATTTTAGAGTCTACTAATAATTTATGTAGAAAATACTTCCCCTACGAATTGTGCTATTTCTCCCCCTTGCCCCTGCTGAAGACACCCCTTTTCTGCATTAGATAAGTCGGCATTTTACCTGATATTCAATCCGCTAAGCCCCGTCCCTTACATATGGTACATATAGTCACACAAAACAATAGAGTAAATGTACGTAAACAGTTCTGACCGTGTTCTGAGTGTTCAGTTGTTAAGTTTGATTGACAATTGATTTCTAACATGTAAGGCTAAATTAATGCAATTTAATGTAAGTTTATTTCTAAATAAAACAAAAACGCTTAAAAAAAAAATGACAAAGAAATATTTTTTTTCCTATAACAATTAACACTTATCATGTAATATTATTTTATATTGAGTAATAATATAACTATTACTTCGGTCAGATCAATTCCGAGTTGTCCAAACTAATTTAGAACAAATTATTTTAATAGGATGATTTCAATCCTGCAATGACAATCCAAATGAATAATATCTTAAACTTTTTTCGCTGCCATCATAATAATTATGTAATACAGTAGGTTTTCTTTTTAAGTGTCACTTAGTTAATCACACCATCAGCACACATAGTATATTGGTTTTTACTTTTAAAGGTTAATAGATACACATATAATCAGCAAACCCAATTGACTATATTTTTAAGTACTGAGTTTCTCTTCGGTACAACAAATAATACAGGTGATTTCGTTCCTTAAGAACAACTTATTTCGAGTGTGGTAACCAGACTTGATTCATTTTAAAATTGCACCTAAATATAAATGTTTTGTAAAATTAACTAATTAAAATATTGTATAATCTCAGGTGACCTCATGAGCCGAGCGATTAAGTTAATGGCATCATCTATACATAAGCGACAATGTAAATCAGTCATTAATAATCAATAACAGCATCTAAGTAAGTTACACTCAAGCTTTATTCAACTGAGTTACTATGTTTATTAAAGAAGCCCTCCATTTTAGTACCGTACCTATTTTGGAATGGACACAGTAGCTATACTTAACTCAGATATCACAGATCATAGAACGATCACATGTCTAACTGAAAGCACTGTTAATTCTGAGGAGTTATTGTAACTTCCCCTGTGGGGTAGTTATAACCCCCAAAGGGGGAGTTATGTTTTGGGAGTTATTTTAACTCCTTAAATGGTATTAAAGAAACTCCTTAGAGGAGTAAATTTTAAGTTTACTCTCATTTCACTCCAAACTTATACAAGGTTATAACGTTGGAGTAATTTTTGCTCCAGTATTTGGGTCGCTGGAGTTAAATTAACTCCATGTTTAGAGTAAAACAAGCAGAGTTAAAATAACCCATCCACAGAGAGTCAAATTGATCCTGTCGCATGAATTATAGCAGAGTTAAATTCACCCATCCACAGAGAGCAAAGTTGAACCTATCGCAATGCATAATGGCAGAGTTTAAATAACCCATCTATCAGAGAGCTAAATTGATCATATCACAAAGCATTATGGGAGAGCCCGCGTTTATTCGAGAAAAAAGTTTAGTGTCGCCATTTTCTGTGTCTCGATGTTATGTTAAACGAAAATGAAGAGTTTAATTGATTTTTTTTATTGGAATGTGTTTGAAGGTATGTACACAATAACATAGTATTCTTCTGAATATTCACGTTATATTATTTTACTCTGATTTAGGGTAACATTCTGTGTAGAAAGGGGCCTGGCCTAGGCCCTATGCCAGGGGTGGAAATATAGGGAGCTGTATCTTGAAAACCACTGGTCGTACAGAGTTGCTTTTTGCAGCAAAATGTTTAAAACATGCATATTTATATTTACTATAATGGACAATTTTCTCTAGAAATGACCGAAAATTGCGTTTTTGACCTTTGACCTTAACCTTGCGTGATTGTAATATCTTGGCAACTACTGGTCGTATAGAGTTGCTTTTTTAAACAAAATATTTACAATATGCACATTTATACTCTAACAGAATAATTTCTCAATATCAACCAGAAACTGTTTTATTGACCTTTGACCTGTCTTTGCAGTATATAGGCCTATTATATATACCTAATGATGACTTATGGTCGAAAGTATTATTACAACAATGCT